GGACATTAAGTAAACTAAAAATATTTTTCATGAATGACAAGCATTCATTGGTATTTTTAAACTCTTAATCCATTCTACTCTTCTATAATTCTTATATTATTCTACTTTATTCTCCATTAAAATTTTAAACTCTTTTTCTGTTCTATTTTGCATATAACTTTATCAAAACATTAAAAAATACATTTTTTAATCCGTAATATTTGCAAAATCAATTTGAGGATAATGATCTTCAGTGATTTTTTTTAAATAAAATCGCTCACACAATATTTATCACGATTTTGTAATAGCATATTCTACTAAGTTTTTGAACCAATTCATTTTACACACAAATTAGATACATTTGTATTTTCATCAAGGAGTAATTTTAACAAGAGATACGAAATTCCAATGAACCAATGGGAGTTAGATTTTTTTTTCGTTACTTAACACCCGTGCCTAATATTGTACATACAATCTTACTTGTTTATACATTACCTGTTACATGTGTGTTACTTATTAAAAACGTTTATTTTTAGCTACTGCAAGGATTTTTATTCCTAATATTATACATATAATCTTACTTGTTTATACATTACCTGTTACATGCGTGTTACTTATTAAAAACGTTTATTTTTAGCTACTGCAAAGATTTTTATTCCTAATATTATACATACAATCTTACTTGTTTATACATTACCTGTTACATGAGTGTTACTTATTAAAAACGTTTATTTTTGGCTACTGCAAGGATTTTTATTATATTTTATCATGTTCTACTTGGATTTTGCACCATTTAACTTTACACACAATTTAGATAAATTCTTATTTTTATCAAGGAGTTTTCTTAACACCATATCAATTTTTAAAAAAATATAATGGAAGAATGGATGTTATTTTGTTTAATATTGAGTTTCTTATGACTGAATGTATAATACTACGCATGCGTGTTACTTGTAAATACATTAATTGATACAAGTGTGTTATTTGTTATAAAATGATTTTTTTTTCATATTTAGCTATTAGACTGGAAGTGCAATGTATGGGAAAGGTTGGGGCAGTATAGAAATAAACTACTCTTTTCCAAAAAGACAAATTTCGCCATCAAACTATTCCTTAGTCTTATTTCTAGATTGATACATCATTAATTTCTGGAATTTCCACGAGATAACAGCAAAATGCATAAAAGCATACTCTTGTCTACTTGAAGCTCTTGGGGGTTTTTTTTCTGATCAACAATGCGAATTCATGGTTTAGTCCCTTACAAAACTCACTAAATTAATCAATTTAACGAAAATATTTTGTAGATATGTATCGATACCTGAAATATCTTAATACCGAATGAGATCACCAAAAATTATATCCAGATTTATTAAAAACCCTGCGTAAAAGCGTAATTATTATATTCACCCTCCACATAAAATGCTTTTTTCTTAAGAAAAACTCTTAAAAAATTTGAAAGTTTGACTTATTTTATTTCACTAATCTAGACTAAGAAAAATAAATTGTTTTCAGTTATAAACTTAAAATATTCTTCATAAAAGAAACCATATTTTTAGCTATAACATCATTAAGAAAATTATAAAAATGAAATAAACTCGTTTTTCAAACTACTTTATTAGATATCCATGCTAAATAAAAAGCACATTTTTCTTTCGTATACTTTAAATTATAATTATTATTAGGCAATATAGCAAAAATTCTATCTTCCTGTTGATTGGTAAATGTTTTCGAATAATAGAATACCAGAGATAAATTCGAATAGAAACAACACTCTGATTTGTTTTCACCTGAATGCGTGAAGGTGTGATAAGTTGTTTATTAGCAATTTCATTCCACCCAAGAATCTAATAAACTTGCTCTACTAGGCCGCTAATAAGTATGTTGTCGACCAGCCGTGAAACAATGAATAGTATTCCTAACACTAGTGTCTTTTATTTCATGTGAAGACTGTACTGTGCAAAGAAGTATAACCATTTATTAGATGCCCGGGAGCAATAAATTAAGTTGTGTCTCAATGACATTCTCTATTTGGGCTAATACAAACTCAATATATTATTCAATATTATATATATAACGTACTGAATATTATAACTGGGGTTTCGCAAGACGAGAAAAGAATAAAAGAAAGGTATCTTAGGTTTTTCAAGACTACTGGAAAATGCTTAAATTTAGATTTCATTTGAGAATTGCGAAATAGGATATTTTTTGTATTTGGTAGCTGTTAGTAACTTAAAACAACTAGATTTATTTTACTTTCGTTATCTATTGAAAGACTTTTCCAGACCATGGGAACTCTGTAAAACTCTTTGATTAGATTTCCAGCAGTTAAATTTCAAAGCAGCTAAAGTCAATGTCTTTAGCACTTTTAATACAAATGCGACACTAGTGTCACCTTTACATTGCTTTTATGTACATAAATATAATTTTTTCTGACGCTTTAATTACAAGTAAAAATATTGTTACATAAGTAAAAAAATACTCTTATATTTATTAAAAAAAAACTGTTAAATTATAATAAATATATCTGGATTTTAATGTAAAATTTAAAAAAAGCAGTTTGAAAAAATTTTTATCAATAATTGATTTTGTAAGTTAAAGGAATCTCAATGGTGAATTACTTGCAAATAAGTGCAGATTTGGAAAATTATTGTTTGGAAGTTTGTCCTGTTAGAAAGATTTTACCTTTTAAAGCAGAAAAAGACATCGGTGCTTCATGCTTTATTTCATAATCATGAAAATTTTTAAAATTCTTATCATAATTTATTTACTTTTTGAAATTAAATTAATAAAGAATAATGAAAAAAGTATACAAAATTTGTTAAGTAAAAATTGTGCGTCAAAAGTGCAACAAACAAATATCATATAAACTGAGTGATTTTTTTTTACTTACAGGGTCGATTACCGCTCAAATATTGGCTAAAATCATTTTATTAGAATTTTTTTTGCTGCTATATTTGCAAATCACTTAATTTTAATTAATTATTGATATTAGTATAATTAGTGTTTATAATTAATTATTATAATTTTGCCTGTTGGGAAGCAATATTTATGTATTTCCCGGGCTTTGAGAGCCCGGGAAATGCTTAGTTAATTTATCTACATATTGATACTAACATTACATATTACATATTAACATTACATATTAATATTACTCATTACATATTAATTCCTTTGTCTACACATTAATTACTAATTACTACATAACTTTCTAATTACTAATTACTACATAACGGGTGAATTTATCGACGTATCCACTTCAAATGAAGAATTGCTCTTTTTACATATTTATAAAATTCATTGAGCATAGTTCAACTTTAAATAAAAAGGACAAAGGGATTACAGGAATTAAATTTATTTTTCTCTTCGTGCAACAATAAGCTTATAGTATAAGTTGATATTTTTGTCTCATATTTGACCTGATTGACCTTATATTCTAAAAGCTAAAAGAAAGAATCTACATTTTCACTCATTTCAAAATGCTCGATATAGTTTTCCCTATAGTTGTCTTTTAATGATAGTATCGTATCAGCTAAATAAATATTGCTTGAGGAAATTATAAATCATGGGCCTTCGAACTTTTTAACACAAATGTTGGACATACAGCCTTAGGGTGGAGACCTAGACAGTAAATGGTCTCTCTCATGCTGCTATTTTTTACGATTTTGAGAGAGTTTTCAACATACAGCAGTTTTGAAATGGACGATTTTGTTTCATAACTATCTGAAGAGTTTTAGAGCATCAAAAGCTCGAAAGTTTTAAGGACGAATTCGATAAAAGTTATCTACATAAAACATTTTGAGTAACATTTGGAGAGTTTTTTCCTTTATTTTATGAGATTTCGTCATGATGTAAATTTTAATTTAAAAAAATCAAAATAAATTATGGTGGTTCAGAGACCTAGCATTTCAGGCTTGCAGCACCGGCATAGGTTGGTAGATATATATGTTTGCCGGTAGAGCCATGCTTAGACTGTACCGCGCAAGAGACACCTGGTTTAAATAGTTAAATAGACGTAATAGATTCTAAAATATTGCCTTTGATGACCAGGATACGCCATATTGAATGAAGATCTTCAATATAGATCGTTCGATGCCGTTTTTAGAGTCTTCTACAAATCAATATTAAATGTTTTCAAGTATCAAAATGGTGTAATATAGTCTTTCGGCAATTAAAAAAGAATACTGTAATATTGCAAAACAACTGTGTTGTAGAGAAATAATATTCTTTTTGCACAGATAAATAAACAACAGTAGAAACTGTCGAATAATAGAGAGATTTTAACTTACCTATGCTTGCATTGTTACTCTAATTTTAACGCTATTTAAAATTTACAGCTCATGCGCGAAATTTTTCGTCCCAATCTCCATTTTTCTAAGGGGTAAAAAGTAAAATAAGCATTGCGGGTAACATAGGAGAAACGCTATGCATAATCTCTATAATGTGAGCAGTGGTGGCTTAGGGGACTAAGCTCTCGCTTTCCAATGAGGTGCCCCGAGTTCAAATTCCAGGGATGGGTAGTTGATACCAGCCGAGCCCTCATCTTACAGCGACCATAGTGCTGCCGTAAAATTGCTGTGCTGATAGTGATGACGCTTCCTTGCAGTCTGGCTAACCGTGAGATGTTTTCGTGGTTTTTCCCCTCCATGTAACGCAAATGCGGGTTACTTCCATTAAAAAAGTTTTCCACTAAGTCAAATTTCACCCAATACTTGATCCAGGAGTTCCCTTCTCTTCTAGATCGGGTGCAAAATTTTAAGGCTACAGTGTTGTACATTGTTCGTCGCAAGTCAAAATTGGGCCGGCAGTTCAATAATGATGACAAAATAAAATAAAATCTCCATAATGTACATATCAACTCAAATACTTTAGAATATAAAGTTGTTTCGATACCAACAGGAAACAACAGTAAACATTGGATAATATTTTCCAAAGTGTTTTGAGTTTCAGACTAGAAGGTGTTCAATTTAAGGAATCAGATACCAGCATTGCTTACAGAGCGTTCAAGTAAAAGGGCGACAGTTTTAACATAACGCATGAGTAATGTAATGTAATCTTTCTGCAAATAAACAAAATATTGCAATAGTATATCCACCAAGCAAAATCAGAAAAGGACCACGCACATCATCTAGTGTAAGAGCGCCTGCTTCAGGTTTCACGTATGTACCGTTACTTTTCAAAATCCAGTTTGTAACCAACTCATCTCTAGTAATTTTATCAAAAATGCCTGAGCATTGAACTCTTGATAACACGGTATTTATAGCATTTTTGCAACAAAACCTCTTAGTGATAGACATTGCAGTAAAACCAGACTCCAGACCATCCATAGACATTGAAGTAAAATCCCTCTCAAGATACCCGTAGTTTACATCCAGCATGAATTTCAAATCCATTATTGCAGCATCACTAAATTCTTTTTCTATTAGTCTCTCGCCAATGTTAAAATACCATCCATTCTGCTCTATCGTCTTACCCAAATTTCGTAAGTGAACATTTTTCTCTGACTTCAAAACGCCATCAAGGTTTGAACCTCGTAACGTTAAACATCTATGTGTCCCCTTCTCCACGGCCTTCGACAGATCCTCAAAATTCCGTATGGCTTTCTCGTCCATTGGATAGGAAAGAAAAGACAGCACAGCAGCTGAGTATGAGAACGATATCACTAATGCAGAGAACCACCAAAACCCCAAAAGCAGTGCACGTGGTTTTGATGTGATTGGTATCGTGGTAGGTTGCTTTAACAAATTTCCAACAAATTGTAAAAGCGTATTTCCAAAAGATTCGTCAAACAAAATTTTGAAAATAAATAGTAAAAATAGCAGTGCTACTCCAACTCCAATCCAAACGGCAACATCAAAGGTTTTTAGGAATGCTACTGAAGTTGATTGTGCTTTAGGTTTACCAACTATAAATTTTACTGGTTGGTGCATATAAGGGGTACTGGCATCAGCAACTGTCAGATAGTCCTCCGATATCTTTAAGAATGCCATGGCAATGTCGGCTTCATTTCTCTGCAGCATTCCAATTAAACCTGACCAGCTTCCATTCGACGTTTGTGTTCCCCATTCACCGTCTATGGGTGACACAAAGCTTAGATTGAATTTTAACACATCTGAGATAATTTTTAAAAGTCTGCCATCAACTCCAAGTAGAGAAAATCCATTGGTTTCATTCCCTTTAATTTCTATTACATGATGTAGAGGATTTATTGCCGCAATAACTTTCATCTCCAAAATTAGATATTTTTCAATGTTTAAAGCTTTGAATGCGCTATTTCAAATTCCCTGCTTCAGTTTAATTTATTTAATGTAATTTATAAACAAGTAATTATTTTAAAGAATTCACATGTTTTTTTGGTAGCTTCATGAACATTGGGCTGTCAACAATGACTGTTTTAAAATATCTGACAAATACTCTGCCTCTATTGCAATCAAATTTAATAAATAAATGTGCCTCTATTGCAATCAAGGTATTATATATTTTATAATAAAGAGTCTTGTTTATACGTAAAAGTTTAAATTGTGGAAAATTCTCTTTGTAATTTCTAAATGACAAAGTTTTGAATAAACATATAGTTCTTATGAATTTTTTAACAAAACATGAATATTTAAATGTTTAATGCAGAAAAAGTCATTAAAACTAAGCAGCGTTTCGCATTAGAATGCATTACATATGTCTAAAAATGGCTATATTTTTGTAAATTACATGAAATAATGCACAAACAAGAAAAAGAAGATGCAAAATTAACCAAATAGCCCTCATTACCTCAACATAATGATATGTTGTACAGCAAAACTTTTTTTTTCTGTTTGATGAAAATCACTGCAAAATTGCATAGAGTTTTGAAGTAAATACTTCACCCTATTCATTTCTCAATGGTTGCTGAAAAAATTGAAACGATGCACATCATATTCAGCAAAAATAATTAGATTCTCAAATTATGTCAAAATAACAAATTGTCAGTCTTTTTTTTAAAAAAAAATCTAAAACATTATATTTTTGTCAAATGATTTTTATACATAGTATTTAATATTTTAAACACACAATCAGGACCTCCACATATTTGAGAAATTTACTCTTTATATGTATAGATTACATATATAGATTGCAAATCATAAAAAAGGGAAAATCTTAAATATCTTCAATTCAATGTTTTTCTTTATTTTCACGAACTGGGACTCAATCTTAATGGCTTAAACGACTAACTTTAAACAGGCTACAGTATTTGGGGTGGTATTTCATGCACAAAAATGATTTTTCTCAGAATGAACTTTTTTTTGTTGATAGATTTGGATTCCTGAATAATAGGGGGTAAAACTCAAGTAATAGGAGGTAGCGACAGCTTAAAAGTACTTGATCCTAATAATTTGGTCAGGAGAGCTGACGAAAGTTTGAACCCCTTTATATTAATTTCTCTTTCTCACACTGAATAACATTGAAAAAATTTTAATTATCATTAACTATTGACTTAATCCATTTAAGTTTCAAATTTTGTCATCTAACAATACATAGTTTTAAATTATGTAAAGTTTTATGACCATACAATTCAGAAGCAATTTTTGCACATTATTAAAATAATTTCAAACATTTATCTTTTTCGTAGCCTTAACTTTTGATAATGTAGTTACATAATTGTATTCTGAAACTGTTTGATTATCTTAAACTGTATCTTTGGCTTAAAGAAATACACAAAGTGAAAACGACTATATGGAGCTCAAATGTTCGATCGCGTTTATAAATAAAGTATACGGACCATACATTCCTGATTCCTGGGCCATAAACAAGATAAGATTGTCTTGAAACTGTAGTGCATGTTCCTTTTTGTGCTTTTATTAAAACTTTAATCAAGCTGTTTTGCTCTATTTAGAGTTCAATTATTTGCTATTATAATTAAAACTTAATCGTTTAAATGTTTCAATAGTTTTATGAATTTGCATAAAATTTTTAGTACATTTATAATTTTATATGTCTTTTTTCGTTTTTAATTTAGAGGCAGTTAGCGCATTCAATCAAGTTTGAAAATTTCATGTTGTAACTAAAATATTATTGTGGTTTAGCATAAAATTTTTATTTCATGGTTAAGCATCAAACTTCCTAAAGGGTCCTTCTGCATTAAAATTAACTTTTAATTCAATCACAAGAATATCATAAATCATTTCCTATGGCCGAATGCATTTCTCAAATGATGTTTAATGCGTTAATATTTAAATTATTTGCCTCCATCCCGTGTTTTTAAATGTATCAATAATAACTCGAATACTTTTGTAAAAAACGTAAACTCTTTTACGTTCCACAAGGATAAATTATAAGTCATTGTTACTGCCAAGTAAAGTGCTTTGAGTCCCAGATACAAAGTTGTTTTATAGGTTGCCAAATGTAGTAAGTAATAGTTTTTAAAGAGTTAAAGAGAAGTAACAGTTTTAACGTTTTGCATGAGTGATATAATATATTCTTTCGACAAATAAACAAAATATCGCGATAATATATCCTCCAAATAAAATTAAAAAAGGACCACGCACATCATCCAGTGTAACAGCACCCGCTTTAGGCTTCACATAGATGTTCTTATTTTTCAAAATCCAGTTTGATACCAATTCATCTTTAATTACTTTATTGAAGATGCCAGAACACTGAAGTCTTGATAAAACAGTATTTATAGCACTTTTGCAGCAAAACCTCTTATTGATGGATATAGCTGTAAAACTAGACTCCAGACCATCGGTAGACATTAAGGTAAAGTCTTGTTCAAGATATCCGTAGTTTACATCCAGCATGAATTTCAAATCCATTATCGCCGTATCGCTGAATTCTTTTTCGGTTATTCTCTCGCCTATATTAAAAAACCATCCCTTTTGCTTTATCGTCTTACCCAGATCTTGTAAGTGAACGCTTTTCTCCCATCTCAGCACGCCGTCAAGGTTTGAACCTCGCAACGTCAAACACTTGTGCGTGCCTTTTTTCACAGCTTTCGACAGTTCTTCGAAAGTACGTATCGCCTTCTCGTCCAACGGATAAGAAAGAAATGACAAAACAGCAGCCGAGTACGAGAACGATACCACCAAAGCATAAAACCACCAAAACCCCAACAGCAAGGCACGTGGTTTTGACGTGGTTGGAATAGTAGTGGGCTGCTTCACCAAGTTTCCGACGAATTGCAGAAATGTATTTCCAAAAGATTCCTTCAAAAGAACTTTGAATATAAGCGGTAGGAATAGGAGTATAAGACCAACGCCAATCCAGACGGCAACGTCGAATGTTTTTAGTAGGGCTATAGAAGTAGATAAGGCCTTAGGCTTACCTACCATGAATTTTACCGGTTCATGAAGAAGTGGCTTACTAGCATCAAGAACTAAAAGGCTTTTGGATGTCACTCCTAAGAAACTCAGAGCAAGATCGGCCTCATTTCTCTCCAGCATTCCAACTAAACCAGACCAACTTCCATCGGGGGTTAACGTGCCCCATTCACCATCAGCAGGTGACACAAAACTTAAGTTGAATTTTAATACGTCAGCAATTATTTTTAATAGTCTACCTTCGACTCCATGTAGCGAAAATCCACAAGTTTTATTTCCTTTGACTTCCATCACATGTTGCAATGAATTAAATGCAACCAAAACATTATTATAAATATTCATCATTTCAGTTTTTTTTCTTCTTCAGTTTCTAAGTTTTTTTTGCGGATTTTCTCTAACAATTCTGCTCAGTTCTTAATGTGCCCTTACTTTATTTCAAGAATTCTAGTTTTCCAGACTACTTAGGCTGTTAGTTTCCCTAGCACTAAGCGCAAGAGTTTGCAATTCTTGATGTTAAATTGATCTGTAATTGATTTTAGTTGAACTGTAATTCTTACTACGACTTTACCTTAGACAACTAAATTGCGACAGTGCTGTGTAAATTATTATATATTTTAAATAAATAACGCTAGCTTTATAGATCCATAAAGATCATTGCTGCTATTATTAACTTAATAACAAATTCCACAACATGATATTTTACATTAATCAATAATCTTTTAGACGTAGAATTTCATACCGCAACAACGCTTAACTCCTAATTATAAGTTTTACTCTCGAAACATGATTACTTTGAAACAACGGTGAAGTGTATTTTGCTTTAACAAAGAATAATATTTATAAGAGATATTATCATACATCTGATATCTCCGATATCATTTCATCTATTATTTTTTTCAAGCGATTAGCAGCTACTTATTTTTAAGCAAAACCACCTAAATCTTGATGGTTTATGTAGAACAATTTACACAATTTGAAGAAAAAAAATATTTATTTTTAACAATATTATTGATAACGTAATGACTTGTTGCTACGTAATCTATATTTTTTCGGGGGGATTTATTGTAAATTACATAGTGTCTGGATATAAAGACTTTAATCTTATACACATTTTAGCAGAAAACCAATTATGCAAATTTACCTAACAACTTAAACGTATGCAGGTGATAAAAAGCAATTTCTTTACCTTAAGCATGAAATAAAAGATAGTCGATATATATTTACAGCGCATTCCTTAAAAGAATATATTCATTTTTATAGGAATAAAATTATTTTCATTTATTTTGTATCATACAAGATGCATAAAATTAAAATATTTGTAAAAAAAAAATTTATCTTAAAATATTTTTTTTTTAATTTTGAAATACATTATTTTCTGTAATTTTTCTTTTTTATTTTGTTTATTAAATGGTTTATCCTTCACACTTGGAAATCAACTTATTATGCAACATTTTTTGATAAAGATATTTAGTTAAGGTTTTTACAATTATTTAAGAGTGAATATGTGGCAGTTAATTTTTAATAAGTTAAATTTAGCTTTAATTAACAAGCTGCTTCAGTTTTATGTGCCTACAAAACGTTTATGTAAGGCTGTTAAAACTCTGTGGAACTTGTAATTTTTAAACTAGTATAATTTAACTAATACTACTAAACCAGAACTAATTAACTTGAAAAGTAATTCTAGTATTTAACTTTCCGTACAAAAGTTCGAAAAGATTCTCTAACCTTTCAAAGAATTTTTTTGGTGAAGATAATTAAACGAGTTTTTAAAATTTAAAATAATTCGATATGGAAAAGGAATTTTTTTAAAAAATTTTTGTGACTGTTGTTTCAATATGAACAAAGTGAAACATTTCCATTTCAATCCAATAAAATCGAAAAATATATTTGCGAAACCAAAACTGTTGTTATATAAATAAGGATATTTGCGATCTTGAATAACTTTTAATTGATGTAAATAATAAATTTGTCTTATCGAAACAAATATAATTGCGCATCAATCATTGATGCTGATAAACGATGAGAGTGGAACCCAATTTTAAAAAAAAATTATTTTATTTGTCAAAAAATTTATATTTACACCTCACTTTTAAATTGCAGGTGAATTTTGGAGCAGAAAATGCAATCGATGCGTTTCACTTTCATGTGTGAATTTACCAGTCTCGGATCTCTTTTGTCAAGACTACTTTCGGAATCTGTTTTGTAAGTTATTTTTAGAAATGGAACGCAAACAACTAGAAAATGTTTAGAAATAACTTTTTGCACTGTATTCTAGTGAGTGGATTGCTTCTGAAGTCAAATTTTAAGCTTTTTGATAGAAAAGTTAGTTTCATTGATTTGAAATAATGCAGTGCATTCGTAATAAATTTATTCTCATGCAAATGTCTATTAAATATATGTTGTTGTTTTTTTTAAAAAAAAAGAACTATTTGCTAAAATTAAGATTGATAGTTCCCTAAAGTTATTTCAATAACCAAATAATATAGTCATTTGGGATCTTTTTGACAAAAAAGAAACTTAATTCAAATAACAAGGAAACCAAAAAGGAAATTTTAAAAAAAAATTATAAAAAAAGGATTTTGCTTTTAAAATACGTTATATTTCGGTAGAAATTTGAAAATTTTGAATAAATTTAATTCAACAACAAAAAAAACAGATACTGTTTTCGTTTTTTAATTACTAAAAGCAGAATATTGAAGATAATTGTATTATACCCCTTAAAAAACTGCTTGTCTATTTTTTTATGTAAAAACTAAATAAAGATCAGCAGACACTTTTATTAAAAAAAAACACATTGAATGTGAGTCAAGTGAGCAGTAGGCTTTAGAAGCACTTAGCTTCTGCATTATTTCAAAATAATAATTAAAAACATCGTAATTTTGGCTGCTATTATTCCACATTACATTTATTAATTGTATATTACCATAAAAAATTTTCATCTTTTGAATTCAGCTTGTATTTAGTATTCAATTTAAAATAAGCAACCTGTGAATAAGTTGAGTTCGTGTTGTGCTATAGCCATTGTTAGAATCACAAGCTAATTAGGCAATAATATTTCACGGTTGTTTCTTTACATTTGCATAAAAATTTTGAATAATATTTTACATAAAGTAAGATTAAACTCAATTGAGAAACAGCTGTATAAGAAAATATAAAAAAAAATTAAATCATTAATTACATCTTTCTACACTCTTAGTCAGCAAATAGATCTTAAACGCTAAAGAACATAATTAGAAAAAGTAGTTAGTTCATTTGGGAATATGGTTAAAATAAACACCGTAATATTATTCAAATGAGATTCTCCAAATAGCACGATATTTAGAATATTTGCATACTTACTAGTGTGTTTCATCTCGACTGCAAATTGTTTTAGAAGAAAAATTTATCGCTTTAAAAGAAATAAATAGCACATCACGTAGTTTTTAATATGGAAATAAACATGAGACTCATGAAAACTTAATCACAAATTTGTGTTCTGGTAAGTGTTTGGGGAAATTAATGCTGTGGGAATATGTTACTGTTAAATTTTGAACCTTTAGTTACGAACGGAATTCATAAAACAGAATTAGCAAAATGTAAATTAGGACTTTTTTTTACCAAGCTACAATTTGAAAACTCCAAAATAATTTTAAAACGTTAATAATTTTTTTAATAGTGAGAATGGAATAGTGGTTCAAATTTTGATCTTTCATTTATACACCTAATTGAGGGATGTGATCGAAAGTGATGGAATTGATATAGTATTCCTCGTTCTCGTATTTTTATTGCATAAGAATGATATTCATATAATCGATGAGTGTCAAAATGAATGGTCAATAAAATGGCCACAGTAAAAGTGCGTCTTAAAGTTCAATTAAAATTTTACAACTCAATGAGGAATTTTTTCGCGCTTTTCCATTCATTTTTAAAAACGCATTAAGGGAAAATTCATTCATCACATTTTACAACTCAACGAGTAATTTTGTTCACACTTTTCCCTTCTTTTTTAAACACACATTAAGGGAAAATTCATTCAAAAAATTTTGCAACTCAACGAGGAATTTTATTCATACTTTTCCTTTCTTTTTTTAACACACATTAAGAGAAAATTCCTTCATCAAATTTTACAACTCAGCAAAGAATTTTGCTCATACTTTTTATTTTTATTTAACCACACACTACGGGAAAACTCACGTGCAATAAACAGTAAAAAAATCAAATTTACACACGAGTCACCCAAATTTTAAACATCATTGCACAAAAAAGTATTTAATAGAATAATTTTCCACTTATAACATTAAGGTGCTTAAGAAATCAATCAATTCAGTATAAGCGAAAACATGGACTAAACACATTGTTTTCGAAATAGCATTTTTTAAGTACATCCAGAGAACGTTTCCTTTATTTACTTATTTGTCAAATTTAAATTGTAAAACCTTGTATGCAAACGTTTACGAAATGAATCTAATCTATGTATGTATCTCTCATGTGGCACCATAAACTCGAGTATTTCTCTATCTTTTGGCAACACTATAGTTATTATTCATTTTGTTAGGTTGTATTAAGTAATAATCTAAGCAATGTTGAACAGTTATATGCTAAGTATTTATTTACAATAATTTTGTATTTTTAGAGAAATAAAAGCTTAGTTACGAAGATTAAGATTTATTTAAATTTATTTTTTATCCTATATAATATGTCCCGCAGTGGACTGATCGTTAAGACACGGTTCCCAGCAGATCACCGAAGTCAAGCATCACTGGCTACTGTCAGTGGGTGACCACTGACAGTAGCCAGGTGGTGGGCCACTTGGATCAGTCTGCGTAGGGACCGAGGGTGTGCGGTATTGGTCCTCGTTAAACTGTGCTACCGTAAAGTGCTCGACTTCGCGTGCAGGTCGTCGGGCTACCGAAGCGGGGGTGCCATCCCTTCCGCAGAGGATCACAATTGTGATGGCATGTCTTCGGATCATCCTCCGGGATGTTTCCCAGACCGTCGCCAATAGCCCATTGTGCAGCTCTAGTGCGACGTAAAGTAACAACAGCAACAGCAACCTATATAATATCGCTTTAGAAATCTGAAATGTAAACGGTGCTATAGTGCCACAAACTAGCATACGAATATTAGCAACGAAGCTTGCCTTTTTTGAGCAAAAGCTCATATACATATTATACGACACTCAAATTATGGCTAGAAAGATGCATGAGGTTGTTCATCAGATAGTACAGCAAGTAATGTATGTGCTATCTCACTACAGAGAAGAAAATTATTTAAATATTTCTGCTGTCTACTGTGCTGAAATTTCCCAAGCACACAATAAGAGAGAAATTTGAATTATATTTCTTACCTTTTAATTTATTTTG